GAGAGAGAGAGAGAGAGAGAGAGAGAGAGAGAGAGAGAGAGAGAGAGAGAGAGAGAGAGAGAGATGAGAGAGAGAGAGAGAGAGAGAGAGAGAGAGAGAGAGAGAGAGAGAGAGAGAGAGAGAGAGAGAGAGAATGTTAAACGAACTGAATTAGACATGAAAATACTAACAAAAACATGAAAATACTAACAAAAATACAAGTTGCTAAAACTGTCTTGTCCCTTGATATACATGACCTTAAAGTTGTCTTTTCAAGCAAGTGATTTATTATCCATTTATAATTCTGACCCCATTACTTCCGGTTTGAACTGAACCATAACTGTACATTCATTTCTGTTCTTCATAATTCTCCTACGCAAGCTCCTCACTTTCGACAATTCTTTTTTTCTCACCGTGTTCTTCACTCGGTTCTTCATATATTTCTCTGCCACTGAATTATTCCCGAGACATTATGATCAACAGTTGTTCAGTTATACTCTTCATGATCACTGTAATTCACTAAAAACATGAACTTCAGCAGAACATGTTTTTTCTGGTGAACTTTTAGTAGACTACAGTGTGTTTAATCAAAATTTGAAATAAAATTCCCACAAAACATGAATAAACTCCCATAGTTTCAACTTATCGTACACTTAAACGATTTCTCAATTTAGTACGTACTTTCGCTTGCTTGGTCGATAATAGACTCCAAATGGACTCTGATAACAGTCCTACTAAATTTACATCTGTGGTAAAATCCCCAAAATATGCTCGTAACCATCATAAGATAAATACTAAGCATACTTGTCATCAGATTAATATAACCTAGAGGTCAATAATCTGACCCTTTCGCAGCCAGGAAGTGGTGCAGTGCCACCTGCTCTGCACTGTGCCAGGATAAGCATGACCTCACACGACCTTTAAGAAAATATTATTTCCGAGAAGATTTAAAAGTAAGTCCCATTAGTCAACTCCTTTTCACAGAACACGTTCCTGTTTCTTATTGGATAGCAGATATATTAAATAACTTTTTGTGAGTGCTACTACTAAAATTCATAGAATGTTATTAGAGAACACACAAGAACACACGTGGCTTTAAAACACACACACGAGTACACACGCACACACACTCCCCACATAAACGACTATAATACCTTCTTGTTCATACAAATTTCTAAAATATACTTCGTTTCTGAATGAGGTTTTGTCTTTCATTATCTTCAGTTTTGAATTAAATACCATTTATAGCAATCCGTCAATTTTGCAATATTAAGTGAAAGTCGATTTTTTTTTTGCATGATGTCATCTGCAACATGCCACTGATACACTGAATTGATACTCAGATAACATCAACAAGAACACATACAAATACGGTATAAATCACAAATCCTATCAAGATGTAAGTGAAATATTTAAGTGGCTACAAAAACGACTTCTTTTTCTTCGAACGAAAGATGGCGCTGTCTACTATGTATCCATATTTGAACGGACAATAGCAGACGATGGCTGTATTCTTATTCCTGTTCCAGTGGTCTTTTTCTTTCATCCTTTCTTTCTTCTTCTTTTTTCTTCTTCTTCTTCTTCTTCTTTCTTTCTTCTTCTTTTTTCTTCTTTTTCTTTTTCTTCTTCTTCTTTCTTCTTTTTCTTTCTTCTTCTTCTTCTTTTTTCTTTCTTCTTTCTTCTTTTTCTTTTTCTTCTTCTTTCTTTTTTTTCTTTTCTTCTCTTCTTCTTCTTCTTTCTTTTTCTTCTTCTCTTCTTCTTCTTAATTCACAGGAATTTATCCATGTATATACACTAGCGGCACTATACATTTACTACTAAACCGCCTCCATTTACTACTAAACGTCACCACGAGTATTTCGATAAATGAAATATAAGTAAGAAGATAACCCTAATATCATTTCAAGGTTGATGATCCTCGTATATTTTTTTTTGATAGATTTACATGATTTTGCTAAACGGTTATCACGCTGCGAGAGGGACTACTATCCTTCACAACACACAGGACTCTAATAAAGAAAAAAAAACACATTAGCTCTGCCTATTTTCTCAAAATTAGTGACCCAAATTGCGTTAAATTCAGATTCTTAATTTCATTTCCACACTACTGTTGATGACGACCCCCCCCCCCCTGCGGCCGCCATAAGCCTATCCGGGGCCTCCTCCTTGGCGGGCATCACCTCCGACCCAAGAGGATGGCCAGTCCTGTCTATTTTATCTATCTATACATAGCGTTTATTACCATAGATCTTCTATGTCTAATGTTTATGTATCTTTATAGACGTTTGTATCTGTCTATCTCTCAACAAAACACAAAACACACACGCACACATGTGATATATATATATATATATATATATATATATATATATATATATAATATATATATATATATATATATATATATATATACGCACATACACACAAATAGAAACGATTATGCGGATGATTGTAATAGTAACAAAGATAATGACAACAAGAATGATGATGATAATTAGGAAAATAATAATGAAAACAATAACAATGGTCACGATGATAATAATGATCATGATAACACTAATTTTCAACACTATTGCTAATAATGATAACAATAATGACAATGATTATGATGTTAATGATAATTTATAATGATATTAAAGATGATAATGATCATGATGATTGTAATAATGACAATGAGGATCATAATAATGATGGTGATGATATTGATAATGATAATAATAATGATAATGGTATTAATGGTAATGATAATGACAATAACAATAATAATGATAATAATAATGATGATGATGATAATGATAATATTGATGGTAATGATAATAATGATAGAGATAACAATAACAATAATAATGATAATGATAACAATAATGATGATAACAATAATGATGATAACAATAGTTATGATAGTAATAATGATAATAACAATAATAATGATAATGATATTGATGATAATCATAATGATAATAATGATAGTGATGATAATAATAATAATAATGATGATGATGATGATTATAATAGTAATCATTAAAATTATCATCATAATGATAATGATAATGATGATAGTAATGATAATGATAATAACAACAACAACCATAATAATGATAATTATAATAATAATAATAATGATAATAATAATAATAATGATAATAATAATAATAATAATAATAATAATAATAATAATAAATAATAATAATAATAATATATAATAATAATAATAAAATAATAATAATAATATAATAATAATAATAATAATAATAATAATAATGATAATAATATTAATAACAATAATAATGATAATAATGATAATATAATAATAAAATAATACAATGATACTAATGATAACAATAATGGTAATGATAACAATAATGATATTAATGATAATGATAATAATAATAATAATAATAATAATAATAATAATAATAATAATAATAATGATAATAATGATGATGATGATGATAATGATAATGATGATCATAATAATAATAATAACAGCAACAATAATAATATTCATAATAAAAATAATAATGATAATGATAGTTATGATGATAATTATAATAATGAAAATATCAATGATACTAATAGTAACTATAATAAAAGTAATGATGATAACGATAATGATAATAACAGTAATGATAATGATAATAACAATGATAGTAATGATAATGATTAGGATAATATTGATCATATGATAATGATAATACTAATGATAATAATAATGATAGTAATGATAACATGGATAATGATGGTAATAATAATGTTGATGATAATGATAATAAGAACGATGGTGATAATGATGATGATAACAATGATAGTAATAATGATTATAATAATAGTAATAATGATAATAATGATAATGATGACAATGATGATGATAACAATAATAGTAATAATAATTATAGTAATGATAATGACAATGATAATGATAACAATAGCAATGATAATGATATCAGTGAAAATGATAATGATAATAATGATAATGATGGTATTAATAATATTAATAGAGATAATAATAACGATAGCAATATTGATACTAGTAATATCAATAACGATAATGAAAATAATAATGATGCTGCTATTAATGATAATAGTGATGATGATAATGATTACACTAATAATGATAATAAGAGTAATAATAACAATAATATTAATGATAATTATGATAATAGTAATAATAGTAATAATGATAAAAAATAATGATAATAATAATAAATAATGAATGATAATAATGATAATAACAAAAATGATATTAATAATAATAATATGATAATGATAATAGTAATAATAAATTAATAACATAATAATAATGAATAATGATTATAATAATATTAATGTAATAATAATAATGATAATGATAATAATAATAATAATAATAATAATAATAATAATAATAATAATAATAATAATAATAATAATAATAATAATAATAATAATAATAATAATAATAATAATAATAATAATAATGATAATAATAATAATAATAATAATAATAATAATAATAATAATAATAATAATAATAATAATAATAATAATAATAATAATAATAATAATAATGATAATAATAATAATGATAATAATGATGATAGTACTAATGGTGATTATGATAATAGTAATGATAGTAATGATGATAATCAAGAAACATTATGATAAGAATGATAGTGATGATAATGATAATAATGATGATAATAACAATATTACTGGTAATGAAATAAATCATAATGATATTGATAATGAATATAAAAGTTGATGCTTACTGTTTTTACATATTATGGTATGGTATAACGTTTCATTGTAGTTGTTGATATCAGATCAGATGCTGAAAGTTGTTATTGAGCGAAGGATGACCATAAATTGATTAAATATATGTAATAAAGAATCTGGAATTACATGTTTGTATTCTGCAATAACCTTGTGTATTTCATTCATATCAATTCATATGATAATAAATAACGATTAGAGAATTTATATATTGCGAATGAAAACTAAGAATATTTTTACCTCCGTAATCCCTCAGGTGGTAATGTAAACAAACCTCTACTTATAAACTTCTTTCGCTTCTGCTACGCCGAATTAGCCCAGTTTTTCGTAAATTTAATGGTTAGTTGCTCTTTTATTTACTTGAATTTGAAATTTAAGCTGAGCAATTTCACTATATATAATGTATTTTATAATGTACGTAATTAAGGAGGAAGAAACGGGGTCTTTCGTAGTAGTACTTGTCCTGTTGCTTATTGACGAGAAAGTAATCATTATATCATTGAATAAAGTCTCTTTACATTTGGTCTAACTGTATTAGTAAGGTAATACCAAATTTTGTGGAAATTGAATTACTCTCAAAGCAATTATTGCCCTTTTATTGTAGCCCGTATTAGTAACAGTTCAGAATAGGACTGCTTTACCCTCTGGATCAGTGTAGTAATAATATTAAGATAAGATAACCCGGTACTGGTTCTTTATTTGGTAGTTTGGTATTGTTTTTAATATGTACGCATAACAGATCATGATTATTTTGGCGTCGTTGGATTCTGCTCACTGTCTACAATGTAAATATGTAGGTTTTATTGCATGGACGCCCCCCTCAACCCCCACATTCTAGGCCCCAAGTGCAGGGGTGGGCATGAAAGGTATCAGGGATAAATTGGGTAAAATGTAAATGGTATTCATAGGATGAGTCACTATGTTTTTTAAAGCTGGGGTCTTTAACCCCCACCCTCCCCATAAAGGGCTGCTGTCCCCAACCCATACCCAGGTAAACAAAGAATCCTCCATGTATTCCTTGCAGGAGAGAGCGTAGGACAGACTTAGCAACGCCGCTCAGGCATGGCGGTAGTACGCTCTCTCCTGCTGTGAATATGTGGAAGATTCTTTGCTTAACTAGGTGGGGGTTGGGGGCAGCAGCCCCCCATGAGGGTGTTGCAGGGGGCACAGCCCCCAGCATTAGACAATATAGTGACTGATTCTGAATATATTATTTACATTTTACCCCGCATTTTTCCTGGTACCTTTCATGCCCCTCCCTACTATTAGGGCCAAGAATGTGGGGGTTTGAGAGTTTCCGTGCAATAATTTCTGTATATTTGTAAATTAAACAGGGAGAAGAATCCAGCAATACCAAAATCATCATGATCCGATATAAGGACATATTAGAAAAGATTACTGATAAATATTTGGAATAACTTTGCATGACTGATTATAACGATATTGGTATTGATGGATTTCTTTCACCCTCTACTACCCATATAGGTAGGACATTTGCTGTGGAACCAACCCAAACCCTCACAATCTTTGGCTCCGAGAGCAGTAGAAGCCAAGGTGAAATATGAATAACATACACAGAATCAGTCACTGTATTGTGTAATGCAGGGGGATGTACTCCTTGCTACCTCCCTCCTGGGGGCAATGGAAGACAAAGAATCCTCCACATATTCACGGCAGGGTAGAGCATACAACAGATATGCAGGAGCAGCCTATGCCCCTATGCCTTATCCTGCTGTATTTAAGTGGTGGATTCTTCGTTGTCTAGAATGGGGGTAAGGGGGGCTGCCCATGCAGCTCCCCCAGGGGGATTACTGGAGGCACAGTCCCATGCATTTGGCCACATATTGACTAATTCTCTGTATATTATTCATATTTTACTGTGCAATTTCCCAGGTACTATTCATACCCTCCCCTGCTTTAGGAGCCAAGTTTTTGGTTATTGTGGAGGTTTCTGCAGGGTATTTTCTATATATCTAGGTAGTAGAGGGTAAGAGGAATCCATTGATACCAATATAGTGGTGATCCATCTGGTCAGGAAATGCAATGTTTAGTTTTGTTTACCTTTGCTGCATAGGTGAGAGCTGTTTCTAGTAATGCAGTTTTATGCATTCTTTATGGCCATTAACTTAAGTTTCTTCTTTTTTATCTAGTTTTGAATATTGACCTGAATGTTTAGTACCAGTGATTGAATATTATCTGTTAGTAACTTTTGTACTTTTGTCCAAAAATTAATTTTCAGAACTCCAACCGGATTATTGAGTATTAGGGGTAACAGTGATTTTTGTGTCCACAGGAAGCAATATGGTAATCAGAAGGAAAGTTCAGCAACAGCTACAGGGAATATATAATTTTCCACATGGAACAAGGTGAGCAGAAGAATTAAGAGAAAGAGAAAGAGAAAGAGAAAGAGAAAGAGAAAGAGAAAGAGAAAGAGAAAGAGAAAGAGAAAGAGAAAGAGAAAGAGAAAGAGAAAGAGAGAAAGAGAGAAAGAGAGAGAAAGAGAAAGAGAGAGAGAGAAGAGAGAGAGAGAGAGAGAGAGAGAGAGAGAGAGAGAGAGAGAGAGAGAGAGAGAGAGAGAGAGAGAGAGAGAGAGAGAGAGAGACCTCATGTATATCTCTTTATGTATCTATATATATCTCTATATATGTATATATGACTTATTAGAATTGTATTTTATTTACTCATGATTACAAGTAAACTATTTTGATATAATTCTTTGTGTTCACTATCAACAGGAAATGGTTCAAATGGAAATATGGGCAAATTCTCCTGACACTGAAAGCAATCTTCTACAATGAATTCATGAACTCAAGTTACGCATCGGAGGTCCTGATGGAGCCTATGGTTTGGATCGTGGATCATTTCTCCAAAGCACTGGGCCCGGTGAGTATTATGAATGCAAAATTTTATGGGCATAGTGTACTGCTGTTATCAGGTGTGCACTGTCATGGCCATTGCCACTATGATTATCTTTGTCTCTATCATTGTCATAAATGACATCTTTATTGTCACTATTAATGTGATAACCACCATCATTATCATCATTGTCATTATTCTTACCATTTTGTATATTCAGATTTTATCAGTAGTAATGAATAACTGGAAATATTACCTTAACCATATACTTTTCATCATCATCATCACTATTATTACCACTATAACCAACATTTGTCAGTGTTGCTGTTTTTATTGTTTTATTAGTCTTGATATTAGTATTAGGATCAGTCTTGAACATTATTAGTATTGTTATTTTATCACGTTATACATTTTATGATATTGTTTTACTCTGTCAGATGACTTTCCTATAACTGTTAGAACATTTCTTCTGCTGAGGATGCTATGTAAGTAAAGGTGTGGCTGCGATAACCTAGGATAACTACCTAAAAATATATGCAAATTCTGTTATAACTTGACATTAATATGACAGTTAGCTTATACAACCTTTTTCGTTGATGGAACTTACTGCATCCCTTTTATTTTTATTTTATTTTAATTGCTTTATTAAGACGATAAGGCTTATGTGTTATTTTTGCTCATGTCTAACAAAACCGAAGATTAATTACAGCTTTTTGTCTTTTGCTAAATAAAAGAAAATAATTTTAAGTTTGAGTCAGGATGTGCATACACTCACATTCACATTCACATACACATTCACATTCACACTCACACTCACACTCACACTCACACTCACACTCACACTCACACTCACACTCACACTCACACTCACAACTCACACTCACACATTCACACACTCACACTCACACTCACCACTCACACTCTCACACACACTCACACACTCACACACTCACACACTCACACACTCACACACTCACACACTCACACACTCACACTCACACACACTCACACTCACACTCACACTCACACTCACACTCACACTCACACTCACACACACACACACACACACACACACACACACACACACACACACACACACACACACACACACACACACACACACACACACACACACACACACACACACACACACACACACACACACACACACACACACACACATATATATATATTGGGATAACAAGAATGTTTATTTTCTAACTAACTCTTAAGAGTGCTGCTTCCATGTCACTGATCTGCACATGTTCAATATGGTATTGTTTGTGAGTTAAGAAAAAATACAAATGCTTTTGGTTAAATATGCTTCTTGTTATTTCATATGCCATTTTTTTATTGATGAAAAAAAGAATAAAGATGTTTGGAGTTTCTTTAACCCCTTAAAGTGAATTAACATCATTATACATCTACAGAATAGAACATATTAAATATTTTTGCACACTTAGCTTCCGGCAAATGACATGAGTTATACTTGAAATTATGTATACCATACATTTTTTTTCATCTTTCTCTTTTTCTTCTTCAATCTTTCTTTTTTTTTTCTTTATCTTGAACTGATAAAGATTTGCTTACTGATGCTTATGCTTCCCTCCATCAGATCTTGGTTGGAGGCGTGATAACCCTAACAAGTTCGGTAGTGGCCATCGTGTACATCATTGGGCTGCCATACTATTGGAACAAGTCGCCCGTGCTGACCAGCTTCCTGATGGTGCTGGGCCACTGGCTGCTGATCAATGTGGCCTTCCACTTTTACATGGCTGCGAGGACCGACCCAGGAACGCCTCCAAAGGTTAGGCGACTGGAGTTTGACGTAGATTGTAGACGCAAATTGGTTCTATTATTTTTATGATTTCTAAGGGAGAAAGTACTGTTAATTGTACTCTTCTTTTTCTTTTTCTTTTCCTTGTTCTTGTACTTTCTTTTTCTTTCCTTTTCTTTCTTTTTTTTCTTTAGATTTTTCTTTTATTTATTAGCTACTTTTTATTTATTCATTTAGTTAGTTTTCAGGTAACACACCTCTGATTTTTTCTCTCACCCCAGGGCATCCTAATCAGCGAGGCCGTTAGTGTGTGCAAGAAATGCATAGCCCCCAAACCTCCCCGGACTCACCACTGTTCCGTGTGCAACCGCTGCATACTCAAGATGGACCATCACTGTCGTATCCTTTTCTTCAAGCACTCGATTTAATTGTGTATGCATGTTGTGAGGCTGAGGTAGTTTTTGTAACATATTTTAGCTTTGCTTTTCTTAGCTTTACAAACAGTAGCTTGTGTTCTTACATGATAGTGCTATTTTTTTTTTTTTTAATAGAAATTATGAATGTTGGTTTAGACATTGGTAAATGATAATGATTGTGTTTTCTAGGGGAAAAAAAAAAAAAAAATCTGAGTTGTAT